ACTGAACGAAGAATTCAGCAACCCTGCAAAATTCTTCCTTGCTGCCTCCTTCCTGCCGCTGCCTCACCTGCCAGTTCGATCTCCAGTTAGGTGGGAGAAATCAAGATTGGATCTTGGTATCAGTTTCTTGTGAAGGGACTGATAGGAAGCTGTGCTCACGTGCCGTCCTGGTAATTCTTGCGAAGGATTAGGTTCTTGGGAAGAACACTGTTGATTCTGCTCCATCCTGCATTGCGCCATCTTCAATGGGAGCAGTCTTTGGATCCTTCCTTGGGCGTGAACACCTTCGTTGGGAGATATTATTTCTCCGTATCATGTTGGTTCAAGATTGTTCATTGAAAAATATGATTTTTCTAAAATAAGGGAATACGATTCCCAGTAGGATGGAGAAAAATTTTTGAAATTCGCCCATTCTATTCCGCAAGATTTGGGCATCCATACGATGGATATCTCATCCCTTCAGGCCGAACCATGCTTGATGGTTAGACGGAATTTCAAAATTTTTTCTAACCTTTTCAGGAACCAATTTCTCAATAAATTTGAAATCTAAAATTTCAAGATCGTTCTTGCATCGATTGGACTAGATTTGAAACCAAAGAGAAGGGAGATGATACCTGATACGGAGACCACAAATCGTAGCTCCCAAGGTGGAAGTTCACACCCAATATCAGTCCTAAAACCAGCCTCCAACTGAAGATGGCGCAATGTACAGAGGACCGATTCAACAACACTTGATTTCAGCAAATCTACTTTCCAACTTGCTTGGATTGAGTAGGGTAATTGACCTGATATTCTCTTGTGTTTTTCTTGAAAAAAATAGAGAATAAAACTGATCTAAATCAGTTCTTGAAAGCCTAGGTCGCGATAGGGTTTCTTGGGAGACAAAAGAGAAGAAGAGGGAACAAAAGAGAAAAGTGTACAAGTCTAATTCACCCTCTTCTTTTATCTCTTAATGGAGCACTCTCCTAATATAATTAGGAGATTATCCAAATCTGAATTAGATCTAGACTCATTTAACAATTAAACATTATCCCCTTGAGAGGATAAGTGCTCCATACACAATACCAGACCCAGATTTTGTCATGTGACTACTTAATTAATCTTATTAATTATGGGCCTTTGGCCCATTTTCTTCAAAGGCTCACGACCCTAGGTGTTGCATGGCTACTTTAGGCCTGATATTGTATGTCATGGGATCCCACAAAGGTTTCCCTCAAGTCCATAAGGGTCCGGACCCACCTCTAAAAGAGGTTAGGCCGAATTTACTGCTCAAAGCAGTGAACCCCTGATCCAATCAGCATGGGCTGTCTGAGTCCAATATTTACACCTAAATGATCCCTAGATTCAGCCACCCTATAAATATTCAACGATAATGGACTTAAGTGAGATAAAAGTCATCAGGTAATCAGCCCTGTAATGGTCTCTTACACTTAACTTCTCGGCTCATAATGATCACAACACTACCCGATAGGGAAGGACCTCTCCCCTGACTACAAGGTGCAGTGCCACACTCTCTGCTCAGGTGGATCCCGGGATTAAAACCTTTTTTTGCAAAACTTTTTCATATAAATACATTTTGCAAAAACAATTTTAGTTACAGTTGAAATCCACTACTGGCAGTTTAGGTTTCCATCAAAGAGTGTAAACCCTAATATTCAGTTAATTAACAATGCCAATATGTAAATCCACTACCGGCAGTTTAGGTAAGAAGTAATTCTATATCCTACAACTAAGATGTGATGAAAGTGACCATTATCATGCAAAATCCTGATGCCTATTTATTCACGCAAAGAAAAACGAGCAAATAGAATGAGAGTGCATGTTGATCAAAATAGGATTACCAAGCTACTTTCCAATCCAGCAAGCGGATCTACTAATACATGCAAGATAATTCACTAGTAATCAACATTTTACATTACAAGAAGATGACTTACTTGGTATTCTGTTTGTGATTGCTTGAGTGAAAATTCAGTTATTTAACTAAACCCATAGAAAAATCCAAGAATGAGAGAAAACCATTATAACTTTCTACCACTGTATCCTGTAACTCTGAGTTTTATGATTAATTGACACTCGACATGACCCTTCGGCATCATTCATACATTCAAAACCTCTCTCCATTCTTATGGAAATATTCAGATTTTTTGGTAGGATAGAACTATTGGTTGTGTGGCCCAAATGGTATAGAAAGACTGACATAAGAGTTGTCATACCACTGCTGCATTGTTTGATCTCAAGCATTCTCCTTGCTTTGCTTCATAGCGTCCAAGGGGTGTTTCTTGTGCTTCCAGTGTGTGGGTTGAAGAAAAGAGTTTTTTCAAAGTGTAGGATGTGGATGGAAGAGAGAGGGAGCTTAAGGATGTGGCTAATGGTTGTGGGAGTGTGCTTGCATGGGTTTCTCCCTAGGCTAGAATGTGTGTCCTTGTGTGTGAGAAAAGGAGGGTATTTATAGATTTTTGGGGAGGATTCTAGAAGGGAATGGAGGGCTGAGATTTGAGATTTAGGAGATCTATGGCTGAGGTTTAAAGGTTTAAAGGGTTTTTGGAGGGAGATTGATTGAGGAAAGGGGCTACCAAGATAGCTTTGGGAGAGATCCTCTCAATCAATGAAGACAATAGGTGGAAAATTTCACCAATTTACTTAAATTTAACATTCCAAGTTTAGGTGATTGGCTTATTTGATTGTGGCTCCTTATTTGGTTAAATTTTAAATTCTAAGATGGCTCTGGAGGCTGAGGGAAAGATCTGGTCATGAGGGTCCCTAGGTTCGAATTTGTAGTGAAGAGGATTCCAAATGGAGGGCCTAGATCAATCTAGATTTGGGTCTCAAGATAGAAAGGCTAATGGTGTCTGAATTGGATGATCTTGGTTTCCTTGGACTCGGAATTTGGAGCTCTAGGCATCTACAAGGTTGGATTTTTGGTTTCATGTAGCATATGGTTCAAGATAAAAAATGATCCCAATCGGACGATCAGAATTGGTTCCGGCTTCGAGTCTTAAGATGAAAGGGTAAATGGTGTCGTTGGATTTGGATTGTTGGGCTCTATATACCTGTGGTCTCGGATTTTTGATTTGACGGGAGATGAGATTCAGAATCAAAATGACCCCCATTAAACGATCGGAATCAGTTTTGGCTTCGGGTCCTAAGATGAAGGGGTAAGCGATGTCGGATTTCGGTGATTTGGATATCCTCGGATTTGGATTGTTAGGCTCTACATACCTGTGGTCTTGGATTTCTGATTTGATGGGAGATGAGATTCAGAATCAAAATGACCCCGATTATCGGGATTGGTTCCGACTTTGGGTCTTAAGATGAAAGGGGTAAACGGTATTGAAATTAGGTGATCTTGGTGTCGATGGATTTGGATTTTTTGGCGCTACGTACCTATGGTTTCAGATTTCTGATTCGACGTGATATGAGGTTCAAGATCAAAATGACCCCAATTAGATGACTAGAATCAGTTCTGGCTTTGGGTCTTAAGATGAAGGGGTAAATGGTGTTTGGTTTGGATGATCATGGTCTCATTGGATTTGGATTTTAGGGCTCTATGTACCTAATGTGCTGGTTGTAGAGTTCAAACTTTTGTGAAATTCCAAAAATGCCCTTGGGTCGACTGAGAGGTTAGCTGAAGCATGCTTGGATCTTGAAGAACTGCAAAAAGACCAAAGAGCGCAAAAATGGGTTGTCAACAAATATGTTTGGTCCTATCATGCTAGATTGGATTATAGGCAATATTAAACACAACTTGATTGCCGCAATACAGTTTCATAGGTGAATGAAAATTAATCCCCAACTCTCCTGTTAGATTCTTCAACCAAAGAAGTCTAGATACACAATGTTCTACTACCTTTTATTCAGATAAAATCACTAAATAATCCTCATGGAGAAGTCCCTGAATTCATTCTCTATTGGAATATAGAGATTTCTTAGACTGGGCTAGTGGTTAACCATAGGGCTGATGATGTCATCCATACAGCCACAGCTAGTGATATCAACAATTTCCTGTTAGTTGGAAGGATCTCCAGTGTTGCTCTGGTGCCAACTTCAATGCAGAAATGAAAATATAATATTATAATGATAAAAGGTGAAAAAACAAGTGAAGAAGAAACCAGGAAGGAGAAAGGTTTTAGAAGCGGAAAAACTTAATTGTGCTCCATTTCAACAACTACAAATAATTGTAATCACCTAAAGCTGAGATTAACTGTGGAGATTTTATCTTTGAACACAAGGGGCTAAGAAATCCTGCTAAAGATGAACATGCCAGAAATGTGGTGTGAAGAAGTGAAAAAGGACATCTTACTAATTCAAGAACCGAAGTGTTGGTTCGGCTGTGTTAATTTGTATGTTTATCTTTGTTGGGTCTTAAGTCATTAGTTATTGGGCCTTAGTTACTGGGCCTAATCTTATTTAGTGTTTATTTGACTAGGTGTCCCATCCTAATCAGGGGCATTCTGGTCTATTTATGTAACATTATGTAATGTTCTTATACATAATAGATTAGGGCTGGCTGAGAACAATTCTGCCGCCCATCTCATATCTTCTTCTTCTTCTTCTCCTCTCATTCGACAGCTCTATTTCAGCAAAACGAAGCATTTATGCATCGATGGATGTCGGGTTAAGAAATGACATTTTAGTGTTAATATTGGAGAGTCAAGAGTGGGAGGTGGTTCTAATAGAAGGTTTATTCAAAGGGATGCTACATTTTGCAATTCTAGGTCGTCTCTAAGGTGATAGAATGGAAAGTAGATCCTCTTTATATTTTGCAATTCTAGGGCGACCTCTAGTTTTCTTATGAAATAGTATTACCAACAGGATCTACTGGTTTCATGAATCCTTTATTGTCCTTGTTTTCTCATTGATCCATTAAGTATATAATCTACAAAAAGAATATAAGAGAAAATATAATGTTTTCTGAGTGTTGCTTTAATCTTATCTTTCAATTAGATTTTGTAATTTATCCTAATACTTAATTGATATTTTCTTAATTTTGATTTGTTAAGGGGACTAGAAATGCAGCTAAGGCGTCGTGATGTTGAGAAGTGGATGAGTCATAGACGTTTGCCTCTACCACTAAGAAGGTATTCCTGATTCGGTACCTTTATATTAATTTTTTTTTAGTATCTAAATTGTAGCATTTATTTACACTGGTTTACTTTTGTTTTCCTTTTATTGGTCTTGTTTGGATTTATATCTGGTTTTCCATTAGAAGTGTTAAAGCTTACATTTAACATATTGTGCAAAATTACAAAGAGGCCCTTGAATAGGCACCCTAATACAAAAGAAACATAAAAGGACAAAAATACCCTTACATTGTCAACACTCCCCCTCAAGCTGAGCATAGATATTTGCCATGCCCAAATTGTTTTTGTTGTTGTCAAGCTGGTTTGGGGTCCCCATGAGCCATAGCTTTGTACCTTACCTTTGCACTAGATCCACAACTGATTGTTTCTTACTACTCCAAGATACAACATTACCATCCACCAAGGTACAGTAGCCAGAAGTAGGCCACCAATCATCAATAGAATCTGCCCAGTTAACATCAAAATAGGCCTCTACCATCAGATGCCGATGATTAGAATACAACATTCCTTTTCCTGGACACCCCTTCAAATATGCAGGTATTCTATTCACTGCTTGCATTTGAGATGATATAGGCTTATTCATATATTGGTTGACCACACTTACAGCATATGATATATCAAGTCTACTTAGACACAAGTAGAGAAGGCGACCGACAAGTCTTTGATACACACCCTTGTTAAGAAGAATATCTCCATCATCAACACCCAAATTATGATTGGGAACAATTGGGAGTTTCAACTAGTTTACAATCCAATTTACCAACCTTCTAAAGTAGATTAACAATATATTTCCTCTAAGAAATGTAAATGCCTCACTTTGACCTTGCAATCTCAATCCCTAGGAAATATTGGAGATTTCCAAGGTCCTTAATTTAAAATTTAGTAGCAAGAAAATACTTCAGTTCAACAATTCCAGAGATATCATCCCTTGTGATAACAATATCATCGACATATACTATCAACATAATCACTTTTCCATTTAATCTCATGATAAACAATAAGGTATGCTTAGCTTGAGATTGTGAGAAGCCAACTTTCAAGACGAATTTTCTGAATTTGTCAAACCAAGCACTAGGGGACTGTTTAAGGCCATAAAGGGATTTCTTCAAGAAGCAAACCTTCCCTTCACTCCCAAGGATGTTCATTCCTAGAGTAAGTTCCATGTAAACTTATCCCTGAAGGTTGCCATTAAGAAAAGCATTATTAACATCCATTGATACAAGGGCTAAGAATAGTGGGCAGCAAGGGACATGATAACTTTGATTGAGTTCATCTTGGTTATTGGGGCAAATGTTTCTTGGTAATCAATGTCATAAGACTAAGTATACCCATTTTCCACAAGTCAAGCTTTATACATTTCAATTGATCCATCAGCTTTATGTTTCACAATGTAAACCCACCTACATCCAACAAGAACATTGCCTTTTGGGAGAGAAACAATTTCCCATGTTTTGTTTTTTTTCAAGTGCCTCCATTTCCTGGTTCATAGCATCCTTCCAATGAGAGAACTGCATTGCCTCAATAACAATGTGAGGGATAAAAACAGAAGCAATAGAAGAGATATAGGCACAATAAGAAGGTGATAAGGATTCATAGGAGACATAATTTGAGATAAGATATTTAGTACATGTACTTTTTGCGTTATGAATTGCAATATGATGGTCAAGGTCAGAACCCACACTAGGAAGCTCAGTAACAAATTCAACACAAGGATTAGAAACAGGAAGAGGTTTAATGAACCAGTAGTGCCAAGACTGAGGAATAGGAGGAGGCACAAGAGGAACACTATTACCACCACGAGGAGGAGGAAAAAAAGAAGAACTAACAATATCTGTTGTTTTTGGAAGAAGAATTGACATACAAAAAGGAGTCCAATCTTCATTGACATTCTCCTCTTGAAAAGAAGGATGATGGGAGGAGAAGAAGGGAGTAGACTCAAAGAATGACATCTTTGGACACACATCTTTTTCTAAAACATGGGTCATAACAACAGTACCCCTTTTGGACCGAAGAATATCCCAAGAAGACACAAGAGGTTTCAACAGCAGCCAACCCACCATACGAGCATGCAATCCCTAAGCTCCAAATCTGGATTTTTAGCCAATTTCCATCCAAAAAATCTAAGAAAAATATAAAACAGCTTCAAACCACCATGAAACCTATACCAAAATTCCTCTAAAACTGGAGTGCATCAATATGCATTAGAAACCCATGTGGATGCTGCCAACTGTATGAATTGCTGATGTCAACCGGCAGCATGCTAACGCCAGTAGGTCTATCTGTGAGTCATGACCATTAGCAGATGGTTTCCTCGATCTTACGATGCTCTGATACCAAGTTAGAAGATATAGAGATGAGGGAAAAGAGAGTGACAGGTGTGTTACTGTTCACACCTAGAAAGCCTACATTTAACATATTGCGCAAAATTACAAAGAGGCCTTTGAATAGGTGCCCTAATACAAAAACAAAACATAAAGGAACAAAAACATCAAGAAGTCACTTGTGCATTCTCCCTTGTCTTTGCCTCATCCTCCTAAAGGAGGAGAACATCAATCATTTCATAATAATTCTAGATGATTACTAGTCATAACAACACTATTATCTTTTTAGTGGAAATCTTCTCAGAAATGAATTGTTCTTCAACTTCTATATGACTGGTCCTATCATGATGAATTGGATTTTTTTGGATATTGATTGTTGCCCTATTGTTTGGATAGAGACTTATAGGCTCTCCAACAGTTAACTTGAAATAATATTCAGCTTTAGCACCTCATTGAACAATGACTAACTGTCTTTTGCTCCTCCTGGTCATGAAGATTCTTTTTTAGATTGGTTTTCTTCATTACTGAGGTTTCACTAACAAAAGGTATAACTAGAGATAAATTTTCTACCATTTGCTATACCTTTTGTAGTGAAACCTTTTAGTAACCAAGAGAACTTATTTACTAGTTACTATTTTTAGTAATTTTTTTAACTCCATATTAAGTTCATTTAAGTAGCATTAGGAAAGCATTATTACAGTTGTTTAGGAGTTTTTCCTTATTTAGGTGAGGTTACTTATGGACTTGTTTTTGTTTTAAAGTGTTGTAATGTGCATGTTTAGTGACATAGGGGCATTATTGTCCTTTCATCTTTAGTTATGTTTGCCGTGATAAAATAATGAATAGGAGTTGCCACTTTTGCCTCTTATTTTCTCTTCTCTTCTACTTCATTTTCTTTATGAGTTTAGTTCTATTATCATGGTTCTTGGTGTCACATTCTGTAACAATGGTAAAACTGGAAACAGAGGTTAAAGATCATGGTCGGTCCCACTTGCACATAGAAAATGTCATCAGAGACCCCGGTTTATGGACTCAAGGGCGGCCACTACGATGGTCAAGTTAGTTGAGCCAAGGAGAAAGGCAAGTTGAGGAGCTCGATAGTGCACCAAGGTGTGCCAAGGTGAGAAAGAAAGTAGAGGAGTGTAGAGAGGAAGAGTCTAGAGACAATCAAACGTTCTACTTCTTAGCCTATTTATAGGTGGAGCCATTAAGTGCAGGGGTGGCAAGCTTGGTAATGGTTTCCAAGGTAGGACTGCCTTTTCCACCCCACAATGCATGAGCTAGTTCCACATGGCCAACTATTACACCAATTAAGCATTTTAGTTTAATGGTCCCAATAGCTTGGTTGACATGTAACTATTGGGTATAATGTTCCTCTTAACTAGAGGTGTAAATTGAGTCGTGCCGCTTGCAGCCCGGCACGAACTTGGACTGGCCCAACACGACGGTCCATGGGCCGTGCCAGGCCTGGCACCACCGAGCGGGCCGTGCTGCGCGGCACAACCCATATATATTATTTATATATATTTATATATACATTATATATATATATATTTATATATTTATGTAGAGAACACTGATGTGGGCCCCACAGCTGTGGTCCCACTCTGTCCGTAGGGTAGAATGTACCTAGTCATCCTAGGGTTAGCTGATGGTCAATCTGTTATTCTAGTTGTTATTTATATTTCAGTTTTATATTGTTTTATGTTATGTAAATACCAAGGGCAGATGTGTCTTTTCATGTAACTAGCATAACCTATAAATATTAAATAGAAGTGGCGGCGGCAGGACATTTGAGATTCTGTCCTTCCTTTCAAATCTTGTGTTCTACTGCTCTCTCACTACTCTTTCTCCTATTTCCTCCATACTTTCTCTCCTTTTTCGAACCTGAAATTTATTAGTGCTCAAGACTGATAGCAGTCTTGAACATCTACAATTTATATAATATTATATAAATTATAATTATATAATAATATATAGTATATAATATATTAATAAAATAAATAATATTCTTTAATTTTATTATACTAACTTATTTAATTATTGTATACACAAAATTCATATGAAATTAAAAGTTTAAGTTTTTGTCAATTCTTTTTTAAATAAATAGCTTTGGCCCGATGCACAGCCTGACCTGGCCCAAGGCTCAGCCCACAAGCTAGCCCGGCCCGCGACACGGCACAGGCCTGGGCTGTGGGCCATGCTGGGCTGACCCCCAAATTTTTCACTGGGGAGGGCAGCATGGCCCACGGGGCAGCACAACACGGCCCACACTTTGCGTGGGCATGGGCCACTTTATACCTCTACTCTTAACTCACCCAAAGGAGTTATCAAATTGCCCCCAAGGTCTTTGGATTGCCAAGAATACCCTCTAAGGTATTTCACATGGTGTCTCTAGCATAGGATCTGTCTAGCTCGATCCAGTTTCAATTGGGCAAATGGCACAATTTGGCACTTCTTCAATACTGAGGTGAGTAAGCTCCTCCACAAACATTGACCTACCGAGATCAAGGTTTATTGAGATAACCAAGGTACTTTGGTGTGGCTTGTTCTTTGGCTTCATACACTCCATTAACCTAGTTGACAATCAACTGAAACCACTGAAGACAACTAATCGGATTGCTTCCAATTTCTTTGCTAGGGAGATCCCGGTTATGAGTGCCTTCGCCATACTTGGCTTCATTATTTGAAGCTCAAATACCAAACCTTAGCATATACTCCAATATTGTGTCATTTGGGCTCAAGTCCACACTTAGCATGTGAGTTATGACCAAGGGATCAATCCTTGGCATTCTAGTGGCAGGCCAGGAAAATGCATTGGTGTTGGCTCGAAGGAAACTGACCAAATTAGAGCAGAGGTCATCTTGGAACAAGAAACCGATCTAGACTGTCTTCTCAAGCTCGTCTTCATTCAGGAGCACAACGAGGTTTTCTATTGGTTGACCTCAATTGGTATTCAATTTGTTATGAATGTCTAAGCCATCAACCTCCAATCCTTCTTTGGTCTTTCCCTTCAAGGCAGCAATGGAACACTGATAAGCCACCTACTAGTTGTTGCAGACTGTCTGGTCCCATGGTCAGTTGATAATTTCATGGCAAGGTGGAGGCTACCGCCTTCATTGCATTTGAGTGTAGGTCATCCAATAGTGACATTGTAAGGCAAGGTGACCTTGACAACCAAGAACACTGTCATAGTTGTAAACTAACGAGGTTATTCCTAAGCTGTGACAGGAAGGTAATTTTCCCTTCATGCTTCATTTTTGCACTAGAGAACCTGACAAGGGGCATGTCAGTGAGTTGAAGCCAATCTAGGCTAGCTCCACCCTCTTAAAAGCATTACTGAAGAGGATGTCTGTTGAGCTTCCATTATCTATCAAAATCATCTTGACATCATAGTTGGTGATCATCATCACGACCAAGGACCACCAATGCATCGTCATGGGGTGTATGAATCCCTACCAAATGATTGCCGGAGAAGGTGATCACCTTGTCCAACTTAAGTTTCTTCTACAGCCTGTATTTCATCTAGAGTTGTCGGACATAAGCCTTACATGTTGTGGAGCTTTCCTCTCCAGAAGCTGGTCCACTAGATATCACCACAATGACCCCTATTGTAGGTTGGTTAGACGTTGGATCAGTTGAGGAAAAGCCAACCTCTTTGTCATTTCGGATGTACACCTTCAAGTTCCCTCACCTAATGAGGGTTTCAATCTCATTTTTTGGCTCATGACATTTGTTCATATTGTGGATGATGTTGCAGCGAAACTTGCAATATTTTCCCTGATTCCTCGTGCTGGGATTATTCTTCATTTATGAGTACAACAAATGCAGTCCTACTTCCTGACCTACATCATTCTAGATCTGGATTTGATTGGGATATAGGTTTTAGGAGGGGTTTCCGTGAATTTGAATTAAATAGTGTCTTATGCTTTTCTGAATATGATCTATAGGAAGAACTATATAGAGTACCATGACCTAATTTTTGGTCTTTGGGTGATTGGAAGTTAAGTCAGTTGAAGAAATCCATACATGGATTGAAAGCCTTCCAAAATCCTGGTTTGAGAGGTTTGGAGTTGCTATGCAACAGGTGGGATTCCAAAATCCATACATGGATTAAAAGCCTTCCAAAATCCTGGTTTTAGAGGTTTGGAGTTGCTATGCAACAGGTGGGAGGTGGGATTCCATTAATACATATGTATCATACCGTCCATATCAAAACAGAGAGAAGTATAATTACTTCTTAATTTATACATATGATGACCTTGTTGTCAAAGGTAATAATCCCCTTCAGAAATAGCCAAATTGAAGTTTTTGACTGTTGAATTTAAATAAGGATTTTAGTTACTTGAAGTTTCTTAGGAATCAATGTAGCTTGATACAAGAAAGGGATATTTATAGTAGTGAAACTATCTATTGAAAGACATAGGAGAAGTAAGAGTTAAACTTGTGAATACTCTTGAGGATCCCAAGCACAGATTAAGTGCTAATATTGGGAAGCCGCTTCAGTATCAAGCTTCTATCAGTCATAAGCTATATGTATCTGTTAAAATTCTCCTATTGACCTCTTAATCAACTCTGTTACCAGATTAGGTTACTCCATACAGATCAAAACATAAAGGGGGTATGATCTAAAAATAAGTTCACAAACTAGACAGAAGGAAGAAATACAGAAACCACAGAAAGATATGAAGAGGTATCTAGAGTAGTTGATCCTCACCCGTAATGACCCTTTATTGGAATATGGAAGAGAGATCAAATATGTAGTAGTATAAAATTACAGAAATGCTCATTTGGACCTACATAAAATAAAAACATAATTCAATGCTACTTCTGTACACTAGTGTCTTAACATGACTATATACAATCCCTTCTTTCACAAAATAGTCACCCAAATCTACTATTGACTACTCTATGAGGGCTTATTTTTTATTTTCCTATTTGTGCAATTGGGGAATTCGAAGCCACTGCTTAGAACTTGAAGTCAGTATTTTAAAACCACAAGGCACAAAAAAGGCGCAAAGGCCAATTTGCACCCAAGGCACAAGTTGCAAGGCACAAGGCGAGGTGTGCACCTTTTTGAAGCAAGGCGCAAAAATATGAAAACAAAAGCTAAAAAATCAAAAACATGTCAGGAAATTCAAAAACAAATGCCAAAAATTAAAAAAAAAAGCAAAAAACATAAAAAATATTAAACATAATATTAATAAAAATATACCTTAAATTTTAAAATTAATGTTTTAAAAAATATATTATCTGAAATTAAAATACATAAACATAACATGTAAAGCGTATTCAAATGAAAATATAAAAATAAAATCAAACATATAAAACATTTTCAAGCATGTAAAATCCATAATCTCTTTTTTTTCCTTAATTGCATTACTCAAGTAGCTAATGTGATGTAAAACATATTACATTCCTGATTCTACGAGCTGACTTTGTGCCACGCCGCTTGAGGCAAGCCCAAACAAGTCCATTTTAGGGTCTTAAATTCTTAATTTCCACACTAAAAATAATGGTTTTATATTTTTTAATTGCCTTTTAAGAAGATATTTTATTAAGATAAACAAATGAACAACATGGACTTGTTTGTGCTTACCTTGAGGGGCGTGGTCAGGGGTTTGGGGACAGAGCCCCCAACCCAGCCGCTAGGTTCAAAAAAAAAAGCAAAAAAGCGTAAATTTTTCAAAAGGCACATGCCTAGGCTAAGGCGAAAGGCGTATCAGGTGCATGCCTAGGCACACCAGGCGGGTGCCTTTTGAAAGTGCTACACCTAGGACCTGGGCAAGGCGCCTAACCTAAAATAAACCTCACCTCTGTACCTAGGTGTGCCTTTTAAATCACTGCTTGAACTTGCTGATGTGTCAAGATTTAAATCACTATAGTTTAAAGGCTGAATCACAATTGGAAAGAGATGGCAGATTTGGAATCTCTTGTTCTAAAATTTTTGACACATCAACATAGAAGTTTTGTATGTATGAATTTGCTTTTCTAGATTGAACAATGTATTTTTGTGGATCTTATGTAGCTGTTATATAATGTAGGCAAGTACGACAATCAGAACATTTCAATTGGGCTGCAACACAAGGTGTAAATGAAGAAATGTTGCTGGATAATTTGCCAGAGGATCTCCAAAGAGATATATGCCGTCATCTCTTTAAGTTTCTTAATAAAGTGAGGTTCATATACTGCAATGCAAGAAAAGGATTAGTGGATTTTTTTATTTTGTCACTGACTAGATTCATTGGCTTTGATCCCTTTATATTTATTTCTTTAAACTATAGTATATCATTGTGAATCTATGATTTTGTTTATCATATGATGGAAATATGGAATACAACACTTTTATTTTTGACACAACCAAAGGTACTTTGTAGAAGTCAGTTCCCCCATCCTATGTATTCGTCTTGTGTGGAATTGGTAACAAATTTAATTTGTTGGAAAATAATATAATTGAAATTTTTTGATAACTACTTTGGAATCTTAGAGATGAGAATGAATAGAGAAGACAAAAGAATGAGAAGTGTAGAGTAAAGGTGCGAACTCCTTAATTTTATTAGACTGAACATTCTATGTAGTAAACAAAGAAATAAAAATTATTAAGAAGAGAGCACAATAGGTGATAAGATATCTTCAACAAACAAAGAAAAAGAAGCCCCCAAAACCAAAGAAAAAGAAGCCCCCAAAACCAGCCACCCTTCAAAACAGAACATCTCACAACCTAACACCCTGCACCCTCATAAGAGTCCAATTTTCACCTTAAATTACCATTCCGCACCAGAAAATTCAACCAAAGCCATTCTTCTTTTCCAACTCCATAAAATAATTTCTTACAAGTTTTTCTCTCCTAGATAGAAAGAGTCCCAATGTTTTTCTTATGTGAACATCCTTTTCTATCATCATTTCCACATCCAACTTTTTCTCAATCTTTCTTACGTGGTCTATAATCATCTCACCCAGTGATTTAAAAGGTGTGCCCAGGCACACAAATGAGGCACATTTTAGAGCATTGTTTTAAAAACGGGACTGGACCGGATGGTTGAACCATCTGACCCAGGAACTGGTCATATATCTGGGTCCGTTTTTAGACTGAACCATTTTTTTTTGGAAAAATAACCATTGAATTGGTCACAGAACCGCTGACCCAGACTATAGAACTTCTAAACCATTTGACCTAGGCAGTGATTTGCGGTTTAATAAAAAGTTATTTCATTTTTTTAATATTATTAACGGAGAAGAAAAAAGAGATAGAGAGATGGGGGAAGGACCGAGACATGACCTCAGATCTGAGATCTGTGGGATAGAAGATAGATAGATAGAGAGAGAGAGAGAAGGAAGTTGTTGTTGCCGTCACTGTCATAGGTGAACGTTTTTTTTTTCCCTTCGTTCTTTCTTTCTTTCTTTCCTTCCCTCCTTCATTTCCTTTTTTCCCTTTTTTCCTTTCTTTCTTCTTTTCCCAGCTGACAGCCACCTAACTCTAGCTCTCTCTTTTCTCATAAAAGAAGAGAGAAAGAACCCTAATATACTAAATTTCCAAAGTAAAGGTCAAACCGCCTGAACCTTTCAACCAAGACGGTTGAACCACTGATCTGGAAACCGGTGATCAAAGTGGTTCAGTTTCCGGGTTGGTTTTTAAAATCCTTGTTTTAGGGTATGCGCCTCACTTAGGTCCTAGGCAGAGTATTTTCAAAAGGTGCATGCCAAGTGTGCCTTGTGCTTCAGCCCAGGCATGTGCCTTTTGAAAATCTGTTCATTTTTTCTGTTTCTCTTTTTGTGTGTTTAGCAGCTGGGCCGGGGGCTCTGCCCCTCAAGTCGGGTTATTAGTATCAATTATTCTTAACTTATTAAATAGCTCACTGTTATGCTTGGTGGTTATACCCTTTGTGAAAACATTGGCTAACTGATTTGTGGAATTAACATAAGGTATACATATTACACCCATCTCCATTTTTTCTCTAATGAAATGTTTGTAAACTTCGATGTGCTCAGTCCTGCCATGTTGGATAGGATTATGTTATATATAGATGGTGGCCTTGTTGCAATAAAGATTAGGTTGATTCAGTACCAATAGATTATCTATGTAAAAAATTACCAATAAAGTTCAAAAATAGTGTAAGAAAAATAAAAGAATGAAGAAGAAACTGAAAAAGAGAAACAACTATGCAACACTTCCTAGTAGACTTACAGGGAATTAAAAATAAAAATTGAAATTCGCCCCTATTGAGCAAGAGAAAGAAGAGGAAGAGAAGGAGGAAGAGAGAAGAGGCTGGCGGACTTAATGCCTCAAAAGAACTTTCTTCATGCGAGTGAAGCATTTGTATTTATACTATAATGGCCGTACAACACAAGTGGTATAGAAATTACAAAACTACCCCTGCGGGCACTAAATCTGTGTACAGTACATACAATAACATCTGTCAACACTCCCCCTCAAGTTGGAGCATAGATATCAATCATGCCCAACTTGTCACAGAGATCTTGATGTCTGGAATGGTTTAGCCCTTTTGTAAAGATGTCTGCTAGTTGGTCTTCAGAGCTGATATATGGAGTGCATACTTCGCCTGTGATGACTTTCT